AAAGCTTCAGAGTTTCCAGCAGCTGTAGGAGACATGGAGCTAGGCTCCTGATACACCAGAACTGAGTTTAGCGTTTTGAAGAGAATCTTAGGATTATTGGAGTTTGTCTCAATGATGTCTGCAAAATAGGCCATTCTGGCGGCCCTCACTGCATCCTGATAAGCAACCAGAGACGCTCTGAACAACTCACGCGAGACCTGTAGGCCATCCTTTTTCCACTTTCTCTCCGAGGATCTACACGCCCGCCTACAAGCCCGTGTGACATCAGAGAGCCATGAACATCGAGACACTCGAAGCTGTAACCCCCCCAAAATGGCTAAAGCAGAACCCAGGAAAACATCAGACATCTCAGTCCAGAAAAGTGCAGTTCTAGGAACAGCTAAGATACCGCAGAACCTGTTGTGTTGGGCTCTTGACTAAACTCCGCTCAAGCGATAACGTGGAGCAACAACCACCTTTTATTTTAGCCTCTTGAGCTGTTCACATACCACACATTTACTCTAGCCCAGTGGTTCCCAAACTTATTTAGCCGCGCACCCCCTTCTATGTCCCGACCATGTTGACGCACCCCCAGCCTCACATCAGGGCATGGCTCGCTAATCCAGAGGTCGGCAACCTGTTCCCATCAAAGAGCCATTATTACCCGTTTCCCACAGTAAAGAAAACACCGCAGCAGCCGCGGCGTTGTGGGCGGGCCTACCTTCAGACAGCAGAGCGCTGCTCACAACAGGTGACAGCAGCCAGTACCGGTCGCTCGTGTACCTCAAAGCTATCTTTCATAAGAAGATAATCAATAAAACGATTTATATAACATGGATCCAGAAGTTGTAGCCCGTCTCTACCTACAATATTTTGATATTTTTCACCCTGTTGGTGGTTTTACTGAGCAGGTGCCACTTTTGTCATACGTTTCTTTTTAAAACATGTTTAGACTGTTCAGAATACAAATCCAGGCTCTGTCACGTTTGATTGTTGTAATTAAACTTTGTAGGTGGGGAAGGTCAGAAAAGGATCCGATCATTTTGTTTTTCCCTCATTTACAGTGAAGGAGATAACGGCGCAGTGCGCCTGGCTCTGGTGTTAATCAAGTTTAATTTGTAACAATTTTCACAAGAAAACAGAACAGTTAAAAGCAGGGCTTGTGTTGACCGGGCAGTTCCCGTGTTTGGCCGTTTATTTTGACGGAGAAAGAATAGAAAGAATTACCCCGACGCATGGAGACGAACTGACACTGTATTCGTTTCGCAAATCGCAGATGTAGCTAAATCACTCAAGAAAAGATTTCCTTCTGAACAACTGAGCTGGAAACCGCTCAGTCAGCGCGTACATAAGGTGCACAGCGAGCTGAAGATGTGGAGAGGGGCTTGGAACGCGTTGCGGAACCAGAGCGCATGCGGGAAGATTCCTTCCACTGAAGCAAGAGTTTTCCAAACCCGGTCTCTCAGAGAGACTTGTCACTTAGAAAATGTTCCCTGATTATGAAACTTTGGCTGAATTGTGATTGTTCCTGTCTCCAATGTGGCGTCTGAGGAGAATCCCAGAATCTCACATCCTCTTCAGCTCAGAACACGCATATGATTACGCACAAGCGTGATGCGTCAACCCGGTCACACAGTAGACCGGGTTGGAACTGTTCAGGTTTACGCAGACAATCTTTACATATAGAATTGGCATACAGATGTAAAATTAATGCAGTAAAATATAAAGCATTTTATTTAAATATCCATTCATTATTTTACAAGCACAGAGAGCCGCATCAGATGGATGGAAGAGCCGCATGCGGCTCCAGAGCCGCGGATTGCCGACCCCTGAGCTAGGGCATGTGCGGAGGACACACACACACACACACACACACAAGCAAAATATACTTGTTTTCAATTACGTTTATTGTGCCCACTTACATTTTCTTAGGCCCACCCACAAATGAGTTTCTGGCTACGCTAATGGTGACTTTTGACAGACTTCTCTGAGCTCTGCAGCCATTACACTTTTCACCTCGCGCACCCCCTAGCGGCAGCTCGCACCACACTTTGGGAATCCCTGCTATAGATGATCAGACATTTAGTCTTTTCAGAGTTTAACTGAAGGAAGTTATCTTCTAGCCAGCTGGTGATAGCTGATAGATTCAGACCGTATACAAAAGTCAGAATCCTTTTATCTAGAACAGTTCTAGAGATCCTCACATGGTTCTGAACAGTGTCAAAAACTGCAGAAAGATTCAACAATACTAAGACTGTGAATGCCTGGTTGCCTGCAGCCACCATGATATCCTCAGAATTTTTCACCATCTCATTCAAAGATGTTATAAGCTCCTTAAAATGCTGCCTATGAACCTTTAACCTAGTGGATTTCACCTTTCAGCTTGGCGGCATGTCTTTCTGAAGCTGTAAATATTTGACCCAAAGACAGTTTCTTCTGTGAGACCTAACGCTTTGACAGAACCACAGTAAATAAGATACACGAGGCTGATGGATAAAAGAGTTTGGGTCATCACCATGAACTAAGCTGTTGTCAAATAATGCAGAAAATCTGTCCACTGCTGACGTATTAACCCTCTGGAGGCAGGCGTTGCAGATTTGCAGCAGTTAAAACTAGGGCCCGACTGATATATCGGCCGGCCGATACTATCGGCCGATATTAAGGTCATTAACACTATTGGCTATCGGCCAAAAAGACGGCCGATATTGCGCTACCTATCCAGCAGATGGCGCCAGCTTTATGAATACGTTTTGTGAATAAGTTCACCAAGTTAACTTCCACAGAGTGTTACTTTGTTACAAAGCACAACTATTACGTTTTATTTATTGCTGATTTTTATTATTTTAATATTCTTATAAGGATCTTCTGTCCCTAAACTTGTGCGTGTTGTTAGATTTCCCAGAATTAGCTAAGTCAGAAAAAACATTTTGTAACCAGTTGTTTTAGCATAAAGCAATGGAAGGGAAGGCTTGCATTCACCTACATAAAAAACACTACAATATATGTGAATTCACTTACATTGTTTTATGCTAAGCTAAGAAAACCAACTGCTGCCAGATCATATTGGGCTGGTTATAAAATGCTTTTTCTGACTTGTCTAACTCTGGGGATTCTTAACAAGACACAATTTTACTGAGTCGAGTTGACGAAGAGACCCATCCTTTTTGGCCACAAAAAACCCCCCAGCTCCCAGGGGCGAGGTAGATGGTCTGATGGTGCCATTGGTCAGAGCTTCGGTGATGTAAGTCCGCATGCAGTCTTGTTCAGGTTTGGACAGGTTGTAGAGGCGGCTGGATGGGAGCGGAGCTCCTGGCAACAGGTCAATGCCACAATCGAAGGGGCGGTGAGGTGGTAATGTGTCTGCTTGGTCTCTACTGAACACCTGCTGTAAGGCATGGTATTCAGGGGGTACCTGGGTGAGATCGGGCGGCTCCTTCTGAGTTTCGAAAGAGTCCTTGGGTCCAGAAGATGCAGAGGTTAGACAGGTCAAATGGCACTCTGGACTCCAGGTCTCGACACGGTTGGCTCTCCAGTCCAACTGCGGGTTATGTGCCTTGAGTCAGGAATGGCCCAGCACTACTTGATTCTGCGGGGAGGGGAACACAAACAGTGAGAGCATCTCCGTGTGGTTACCTGAGACCTGGAGCTGGAGTGGTAGGGTCCGGTGTGTGATGGTAGACAGAGACCTCCCATCCAGAGAGGAAACTGACAATGGCTCCGGGAGCAGATCTGTGGTATTCCCCACTCACACACTAGTTGTGGATCCACCAGCGACTGCTCACTTCCCAAGTCCACTAAAGCAGTCGTCTGGTGACGACGGCTATTGAAAGTCACAAGGCAGTCTATGAGGAAACGGAAGGTTCTGTTACCTGAATAGCTGCCCACCAGAACTCCCGGACCTACTGGTGGGCACGCCCTTTTAACGCCGCCGGGCAGGTCTGCACAAAGTGTCCCGGTTGCCCACAGTGTAAGCACAGTCCTTTGTTGAGTCGGTGTCTACGTTCCTCAGGCGTCAGGTGAGTCCGTCCCAACTGCATAGGCTCCTCAGAAGAGTCCGGAGGAGGAGATCTATGGGCTGAGCGATGAAGATGAGGTGGCGGTGACAGGTCCCTCGTTGAAGACCTCTGTAGCTCCCGATGTCTCTTGTCTATCGAGATGGACAACGAAATTAATCCATCCAAGGTGGATGGCTCGGGGCACAGAGCCAGGTGGTTCTTGACCCGGTCACTCAAAGCCTCAATGAAGGCCGTCTCTAGTGCATCATCGTTCCATGACATCATAGCAGCCAAAGTCCTGAATTCCAGGGACAAATCCGCCACTGTCCTCCGTCCCTGCGAGAGGTGTAGGAGTCTCTTCCTGATATCAGTGGTGGTTTCAGAACTACAAAAAGTCAATTTAAAATCCTCCAGGAAATCAGAGTAGGAGCCTGACAGGAAATCAGGATTCCTGCTCTTGGCCTCCGCCCACCTAAGTGCCTTGCCTCTCAATAGTCCCACAATAAAAGAGATCTTCATAGAGTCTGTTGGAAAAGATCTCGGAGAGCGTTCAAAAGCGAGGTGGCACTGAAGCAAGAAGCCATAACAGTCTTCGAACTCACCGGAGAAAGTCAGACATGGCAGAGGTGGAGCCGAATGGAAGTGGGTGACTTCCGGAGGACCACGCACTTCCGGTCCGGGTGGAACCATTCCTCCAGAGGCGTGAACTGGTGGTTCTGTTCTGGACGCCAGAGCGGTGGCTGACGCTGGAGCAAGGGCAGGAGCAGAGGCTGGAGCAGAGGCTGGAACAGGAAGTCGCTCATGAAGCTGCTGGATGACGATCTCCAAGTGCTGGTAACGCTGGTTAGCGATGTTAAGCTGCTCCATGAGGACGGGAAGAGTCTGCTCCTGCTGCGACAACTGGGTAGCCAGATCGGCGAGTGCAGATTCCGCTGGGTTAGTTTGATGGCCGGATGATTCTGTCATGACTCGAGGTAAGTGTCTAACCCAAGACATGCAGAATAAATACTCGTCGGGCAGATGGAGTAAAAGTAAAGTTCTTTATTATTAAACGGGAACAAAAATAGCACAGGGAAGTCCTGTGGGAGTGAGCGGTGTAGCTCGAGTCCAAGTAGCGCTCGGGATGAATGAGGGAGGCGGGGGAGCCGAGGTGAGCGTTGGGCAGAGGGTGAGCGATCCGGGATGAGTGAGGTCGCAGAGAGGGGCCAATAGGAACAACGGAGGAGGATGGGACGTGGTGTATGAATCCCGAGTACAAAACAGCGAGAGGGAAGCAGGTTGAGTGAGGATGCTGAAGGAAGGGAAACAAACACCAGGCGTAAGGGATAATCCAAAAACAGTCAGAGGTCAAAATCCAAGTATCCAATAACGAGACAAAGCGAGCAAACAAGAACGAGTACAAAGGGCTGGGGCTACTTAAACTGGTGCAATCATCCAACGTAGTGAAGTGTCTCCATCCTCCTTTTAAACCCGAGTTCCTGATTGGGATCTTCTGCAGCTGCCGCCCCCTCCGCTCCTCACCTGAGGGAAATCAGCTCAATCACAGTTAGAGTGGAGATGGTGTCACTCACCTCGGCTCGGGAACATGACATGCTTTTTTTGTACTTCATCTAAAACCTAACAAACTAATGATTTATCTATTGACTAACGAACTAAAAAACTTAAAAGTCGTAGCCGACCTTTCCAAGCTGAATGCTTTGACCACATTTGAGTAAACTGCTGAATAATTGTAGCTCTACAGTAAAAAATGTACGAAAGAGTCATATAAACTGAAACAGAAAACTAACTAACTAACTAACTAACTAACTAACTAACTAACTAACTAACTAACTAAAAGAAACACCTTCAAAATATAAGGAAGTCCAGGCTTTTCCCCTATATATAACGGGTTTCCACTTTACAGGAGGAAGAACGTTCTTGGTGATTGGCTCAATAGGTTTCCCTCTAATTGGACGTAGAACGGTCCGTCTTGGTTTGGGGTTGAGACCAGATTGTGTGCGTGGTTCCTTCCTCAGTGGTCTCCTTTAAAAAGCAGCTGAAGACTCACTTGTTTAAGCTGGCTTTTGTATGACCTTCTTCACCACTCTCTCTATTCTGCTCTCCCCACCTATTCCACCTTCCTCAGGATCCACTGATTTCCCTCTTTCTTGTTCACTCAGTCTTTCTTAATATTTTTTAATCACAATTGCCTATTTTTGCTCATTTTAAATATATTTTAAAATTTTTCTAAATGCTTTTTTTATTTTATGTTTTTTCATTTTTTGTTTTTGTGAAGCGCTGCATGATTTTTATCTTCAGAGGCACTGTAATAGAAACTTAACTTTCTTTTTCTTCTTCTTCTCAACATCTTCAGAACCAGCCTCCACCTTTTTCAGACAAGAAATTAACTCCTTCTCATTTTTCAATTTTCTTTGGAGAAGCGTCCAACTTTTTTTGCTTCAGCCCCCAGTTCATTTGTAGATTTCGTGCTTTTGGCTTCCTTGGGAGATTTTTCATTCCTATGGCCACCATCGGAGCCTGGCAACAATCTGTCTTCAGTGATATCGTCAAGCCAACCAAATTCCTCCAACAATGAATCCAAGATCTCGTTGGTAGACTTTTTCTCAGATGAAATTAACTCTTTCTCCTTTTCACTTTTCTTTGGAGAAGCGTCCATCTTTTTTACTTCAGCCCCCAGTTCATTTGTAGATTTCGTGCTTTTGGCTTCCTTGGGAGATTTTTCATTCCTATGGCCACCATCGGAGCCTGGCAACAATCTGTCTTCAGTGATATCGTCAAGCCAACCAAATTCCTCCAACAATGAATCCAAGATCTCGTTGGTAGACTTTTTCTCAGATGAAATTAACTCTTTCTCCTTTTCACTTTTCTTTGGAGAAGCGTCCATCTTTTTTACTTCAGCCCCCAGTTCATTTGTAGATTTCGTGCTTTTGGCTTCCTTGGGAGATTTTTCATTCCTATGGCCACCATCGGAGCCTGGCAACAATCTGTCTTCAGTGATATCGTCAAGCCAACCAAATTCCTCCAACAATGAATCCAAGATCTCGTTGGTAGACTTTTTCTCAGATGAAATTAACTCTTTCTCCTTTTCACTTTTCGTTGGAGAAGTGTCCATCTTTTTTGCTTCAGCCCCCAGTTCATTTGTAGATTTTGTATATCTGTGTGCCCTGGGAGATTTTTCATTCCCAAAGCTCTTTTCAAATTCATCTGTAGGAACTGGTAGAACGTTTTGGGGGAGATCAGTACGTCTGCTTCTCATTGAAGGTAAAGGGGTATTTCCTCGTTTGGGGTTGAACCTGGATGGTGGGCTTTGTTCACTTATTTTGCTGTTTTCAGATGTTTTAGCTTGATGTTTCTTAAACCATATCCCAGGTAAACATAATTCAACATCCTTTTCAGTTTTTGTTGGAGAAATGTCCATCTTTTTTACTTCAGCCCCCAGTTCTTTTGAAGATTTCTTGCTTTTGGCTTCCTTGGGAGATGTTTCATTCCTAGATCCACTATCGGAGCCTGGCAACAATCTGTCTTCAGTGATATCATCAGACCAACCAAATTCCTTCAACCATGAATCCAAGAACTCGTCATGAGACTTTTTCTCAGATGAAATAAACTCTTTCTCCTTTTCAATTTTATTTGGAGAAGTGTCCATCTTTTTTACTTCAGCCCCCAGTTCATTTGTAGATTTTGTATATCTGTGTGCCCTGGGAGATTTTTCATTCCCAAAGCTCTTTTCAAATTCATCTGTAGGAACTGGTAGAACGTTTTGGGGGAGATCAGTACGTCTGCTTCTCACTGAAGGTAAAGGGGTTTTTCCTTGTTTGGGGTTGAACCTGGATAGTGGGCTTTGTTCACTTATTTTGCTGTTTTCAGATGTTTTGGCTTGATTTTTCGGAGACCATCTCTCAGGTAAAAATAAGTCAATATCTTTTTCAGTTTTCGTTGGAGAAGTGTCCATCTTTACCACCTCAGGCCCCAATTTTTTTGGTATTTTGGAGCAACTGTCTTCTTTGGGATGTATTTCATTGCAAAAGCTCGTTTGAACTTCATCATCAGAGTCTGAAGACCATGGGTCTGTGAACATTTCTTCATTCTTTGATGTTTCCTGAATCCCTGCATGATATTTAGGAGCCTTTTCCCCTGGCGAAAGCACTTCATTCTCCCCTCCATTCTTCTTTAGAGGCGCTTTTACCGTCTTCGGTTTGGAAGGCTGTGCCTTCAAAAATCTCTCTTCAAATTTTCCCTCAGAGCTTGACTTCCCATTATCGGCGCTGAGTTGACTGATTTGTTTCCTGAGCTCCTCACATTCATTCTGTTGCTTGTCGTTTATTCTCTGAAGCTGTTTTTGCTTTCCCTTGCTAATCAGCAGCTCTAGAGTCAGTTCTTCCACCTTTTTCGGGAGTTCTTTGTCTGGCTTGAAATCTGGACTTTTTAAGTATTCCAGCTCATTCTCTGCAGTTTTAATTGCGTCCTTCAGCTGGCTAATTTCCCTGATATATTCTGTAATTCCTTCTTGTGAAGCCAATTCCAGCTCAATTAGTTCCGTGTTGTGCCTTTGTTTCATCTCCTCGAGCTGAATACGCAGCTCATCTATAACCTTATTACTGGACTCCAGCTCTTGTTCTGCCTTCCTTAGAGCGGCGGCTTTCGCTGCTAATTTTTTGTGTAAATTCCTGCGAGAAACGAGGCCCTGCGAAGTGTTATTGATATAAACTTTGATTTGTTCTAAGGCTGTTGATATCTGATTACTGACAGGTTCCTTCTTATTCAGTAAGATTCCTGCATTATCAGAAACAGTTTCTAAAAAACTCCAGATGTCTTTGTGAAGCTCCTTGTACTGCTCTTGTTTGTTTTCTAGCTTCATCTTTAATTTATCTAATTTTAACTGAAGTTCGGACGATTGAGAATCTTTTTTCAGCTTATTTTTATCATTAAGAGACTGATGCATTTCATTTCTTCCCTGCAAATCATCCTGCTTGATCTGTTGCCCCTGCAGTCTTATCGTTTTCTGCAAGTGAGGCTCTTGAATGTTCATCTCTTTCTGCTTTTGGTAACTGTCCCTAAATGAGGAGACTATCTGCAATTTTTCGTTTATCTGTTTTAGCTCCTCAGAAATTTTCTCTGCACTCATTTTCTCACGTTCAGCCTTTTCGATGGTTTGAGAAAGCCTATTAATCTTTTCATTGCACATCGAGCGCGTTTCCTTCAGCTCATGAACCTCCTTTAGAAGCGCTGCCTCGGATGTCTGCAACTCTTCAATTGTTGATTTGAAATAATTGCATTCCTCTTCTCTGTGGCTGTTTTCCAATTTTCTTCTCAGTTCCTGAATTAGTCTTTCATTCTCATCATTCTTTATGGTTAGGCCTTTAATTTCAGACTCTAAATCTATATTTCTCTCTTTTATATCACTCAGTTCTGATAAAGGCACATTGATTATGGTGTCGTTTTGTTTGGAAACACTCATGTCTTCACCTTCTTTCACCAGGTCCCTTAGCTTCGCCTCTAGGTGACTTATCGAGCTGGTCAAGGCGTCTGTCTTACCATGTATGGTTTTAATTTGACCTTTCCACCCACTGAACTCATTAAAGGCAGCCTGGAGACCAAAGATTTCATCTTTATAGTGCCTCAGTTTGATTAAAATGTCGTTAAACAGCGTGTCTTTTTCATCTGCTATAACATCGACTCGTTTCCAGTCACTGGTCTTTGCAATTTCCAGCTCAGATCGCAGGATTTGAATGTTCTGAACAAGTTCGCTAATGTAGTTTCTGTCAGCTATGCGCATCGACTCACTTACCATTAGCTGATTTTGAGAAGCCTGAAGCTGTTTTTCCAAGTTAATACACCGTTGTCTCAGCTGGTATCCATCAAGTGGAAGTCCTGTAGCCTTGCTAAAGTGCTCCTGTGTTTCTTCAAGTTTGCTTTTGAGTTTGTTATTTTCTTCTGTGAGAAGCGTAATTTGCTCGAGCCTTGATGGGTCATACGAGAGTTGCTCGTATTTCTGAGCTTGCTGTCTCTGCTGTCTTGACATAGCTGGTCCTTGAATCATCCTGAGATAAGAAATTAAATTCTGTGGTGGGAGTGAGAAAACACGTAACCTGTCACAAAGTCAGATGCCGTCTGATCGAATCCCTCAGAGAGGTGGGTAATACAGTGATGCAGCTAAGTGATGACGTCACTGGCCTTTGATGTGTCATACAAGCTAAGTTCCGTAACGTAGTAGTAGTAGTAGTAGTAGTAGTAGTAGTACTATAGTGTAGAAGCAGGCACTTGCTTCTACCCCTTTTGCTTCTACCCCTTTAATTAATTAACTAATTAATGTAATAAATAAATAAATACATACACAAATACATAAATAAATTAAAGGTGTAGCAATCGATGTTTCTGAAGAACCGCCCACTCAACGTTCTTTAAAATGCGCATGCGCACCCTTCTACCAGTCCGTGGAGCGTGCTCGTGCACGCTGTTTCCAAGCAACTGCCGGCTTTGCACCTCTAGTAAATTCTTTTTTTCCCACAATGTCGGATTCTCCAACAGTAAGTTATATTCCATGTAGCATTACGAGCATCTTCATAGCTAACTATAGCATTACAAAAAAGCTATCAATTAGCATATAAGTTATATTGTTTTGCTGATTGGTTTAGAGCTTTCCTGATGAAAGTCTGGTTGGTTCCGATACGGACTACGAGCCCGTGCCCGGTCCATCCCGACCAAGATTCAGGATGAGGGGGGTGCACCTAGAGACCGAGTGAGACGATCCAGGACCGAAAGAGCCACAGCTTCAACAACCCGCGGCAGCCGAGAGCAGGAAGGAGGCGGCCGTGTCAGAGGTCGATGTCGAGCTAGAACCCGCGAGGGTCTGCTCGCTGACCTTACACGGGATGACTTAGAAAGGGTCCAACAACTCCGGCAACAGCTGGTGGCAGTGGAAGAGGTATGCGTGCACCTCTAACTACTAACTTATCATAATTTTGCGCAAAAAAAAAAAAAAAAAACGCCAAAAGCAAAACCTTTATTTTACATTTGCTCCATTACGAGTCCAATTATTTCATCTGTATGATTATCCCGATTTTGAATGTGTGAAATGTTATGTGGATTTATTCTAACGTATTCATAACATACTCTGCTCCATCCAACATTATGAGTTACATTGTGCTACAGTGAATACACAGAAACATGTTGTGAATGTACTTCCTTCATTTTATTCCAAACATTTTGCACTCAAGGTCCTTTTGCCTGTAACATGTAGTATCTGAAAGTTTTATGAGACCATTAGCCAAGCACAACAATTTAAAAGTGTGATTTTGCATTCACAGGCAAGGATAAAGAGACTGACGCTAGAAGAGTGCCAACAGCTTCTACAAAGATGTCTCACACGGGAACCTAGTCTCATCTTTGACCTGATGATTCTCACCCCTGATCACCCTCAACCTGGACCTTGTCCTCCACAGTCACCCAGCTGGTGTGTCTGTCTACAGTGCAGAAATATGGCAACACCGCTGGAACAAAAATGCTGTCAACAACAACCACAGAACTGTACATCACTGTTGCCACACATGGACTTCTACATCTTGAATGAAGGTGCATTGAGACTGACCAGACGAATCTGGAACGACCTTAGAGCGGAGGCTGACATCTGGGATCCAGGAGAAAGCCATAGGCAGTTCCGCTATGCAGCATACAGGAACTTTATTGTCTGGCAGTATGGCCTTCTGGGACCTGGTGTTAGAATTGTTATACCTTCATGTTGTGTGTGGAAAATTAGAGATGGTTTCCCAGATCCAAATGGACAGTATGTAGGCTTTCTTCCATCAAGAGTGTAAAACATTTGTAGATGCCTAATACATCTTTTTGTAATTGACCTAAAAAAAGAGACCTCAAGAGCTTTACTTGCACACTCATAACCTGATTAATTACACGGTTGTATTCTGACACTTCAAATATGTAATATTTCCAGGTTTTAATTTAAAAAAGTCTTCCAGGGTTTGTTAGGTGTTCAAACACAACTTTATTTACATTTATAAATACATAAACAATTTACCTCAGCAAAAATGTATTAAAAATTATGCAGAAATATAAACAAACGGTTATGAATTTTTTTATTAGCTCTTACGTGTAAAATCAATGTTTTATGAAAGGCATACATCCACCAGAAAATGTTTGATATGTTCAGTCATGCTGTTAATTGCTCCCACCTGCCTCTCGTTTTCCAATCACCCAAGCTCCCAGCCCTCATGTATTTAAACCCTCTCAGTTCTGTGTGTTTTGTCGGTTCCTTGTTTCCATGTCCTGTGTGCAGTTACTATTAAAAGACCTTTTGCATGTCCAGATTGCCTGCCTGCTTCCTCCCCAGCATTTGGATCCTCACAAACCGCTCAACTCACCTGCACGTGACAGAATGAACCGACCTCCCGAAGGATCCAGCGGGGAGTTCTCCCCTGGGAGTACTTGCTCCGATGGCTCACCCCAAGCCACCAGCCGGCTTCTCCTCCTCCAACTCCGCCACGCCGCCATCGAACCTCGGCGTTCCTCTCCACCCTCCCGGAGCCAGATGAGAGGTTTGACTGGGAGACGCAGCCAGACCGATCCTGCTATGTGGGCACCAGGCTGGCTGTGTGCTCCCCCGGCGTTGGTCCACGGCTCCACCAACACCTCCAACACGTAAAAAAAAAAAAAAAAAAAAAAAAAAGATGTAGCTGGAGGAATCGCATTCTGTATTACATTTATGCCACAAGTAATGTTTAAAATCTTCCTTACAGTGAAAACAAAATGACTTCAGTATAGCTGGTAGACTATGACAAGAAACGTACTGATGTGAACCATCTGCTTTGGTTAGTTCTCCTCGGTGTAGGTGGTAGTTATAATCCAGCCCTGCCAACTTGGTCCAATGTCTTGTTTTCTCTGGTGGTGTGAAGGAGAAATGCTTGGAGGCATACATAAGAATGTGGTTAAGAAAGGACTCCAGGTCTGAGGTAGATCTATTAAAAACAAGGTAGAAAGGACAAATGTACTAGAATCTGATAAAAAGAGCATTTGGCTGGTGTAGACAGTGATTTAGAATACAAATAAATTTATTTATACCTGAACGACAGATACTTTGGTATGTTTTTCAACCAGCGTTCATCAAAAACTATCTTCTGGAGTCTTGTTAGTGCTGCAGAGCTCTTTGGAATCCACTCTTTATCCCTATCTTCCTCCAATGGACCATGTCGACAGGCCCCGAAGTACCACTGACGTTCATCCGTCACATGATGCAGAATTCCAGTCCATAGATCCTGTAATACAATTTATAAAGTAAGTGAATCATGTTCACTATGAAATTATTAGAAAAATACCATTTCCACAATTTCTTATAAATTATATCTAAGAAATAAAACACAATAAAATCTAAAAAAGATGTGGTGTCCTTACAGCAGTACCAAAAGTGGTTGCAAACGTCTCTGTTCCAAATCAGAAGCGGGGCACAGTCCTTCTCTCGTCCAGCCTGAATAAATAAAGAATATAGGAATGAAATAATCCGTATCTTACCAGAATAAAAGAAGAGCAGGAACAGCACACATACAGCTTGAATGTTTTACAGAGGTTCTTTGCACCGTGCCAGATATCCAGGCTGTGCTTATCAGCTTCTCTGTAATACACACACACACACACACACACACACACACACACACACACACACACACACACACACACACACACACACACACACACACACACACACACACACACACACACACACACACACAAATAAATACACAGCTAACACATGGTAATTGGTATGCCTTTTTCTATCCAACATTCTTACGCACATGCACAACTCAGTTTGTTTGCTGGGAACTTACCGATCCGACAGTGAATCCTGAATTGTTGATACATCTGGAGGCTTTGGTCTTGACCACTGAGTGTGAGTCAGCGGAGTGGAGGTGATGATATCATAGCTGTAACAAATGTAGAATTTTAAACATATTAGTTCTTTGTTTATACAAAATCCAAATATAACAAATATTTCATATGGATGTCCACAGATATTCTTTAAAGTATATTCTTCTGAAGGTCATCCAGCTCTACATTTGAAACTACCTCTAATAAATGTATGCTATACAAATATGACGTTCCCTTACGTGTTTTACTTTATTGTTTGATTCATGCATCAGGACATTGTCTTTAATGTCTCCGCTCAAAGATGTGTTCAGATTCAGATGCAGCAGTCCCCTGTCCGCATGTAAAAAAAAAATAAACGGTGCTTTGCGACTGTTTCCACTACACTCTCGAAGGATTCAGGATACAGACGGCGGAACGGTCGGAAGGATTCTGTGCCAGCAAAGCGCATCTCTTTGGGTAGATAGGCATAAAATCCTAGACCGCTCCGTCTTTGCAGCCACGTACACATACTTTCCGAAACTTGAAATGACGATCGCAGTGACGCATCAACAATAAAACAAGTAGAAGCATTTCCCCTATTTACAGCTCTCTCGCCGTTTGTTTATTTTTTCACATGCAGACAGGGCGCCGCCATGTTGGAATCACGTCAGCAGAGAACACGCTTTGTTTGGCCAGTAGAATATTTCAGAAGCTGATGTGCGCACAAAAATATAAAACAGGTTTTATTTTCTTACATTTCTTCTAGCAGTAATCTCAAATGCATTCCTCCAAATAGCATGCCGAACTTTAGCTTACCTGTCGAGCAGAAAAACAGGCAACCGCAGCATCTGTGGACAGCCCAACCGTCTCTTTCAGCGAACGCCAACGTTGAAAGAAGTCTCCTAAAAACACTCTGGTCTTATTTCTTTGAATAAACTTTGAAGACACCTTTTCTCTTGTGACTCTCAGCCATTTTCAAAAGAACCCGTTGAGAAAAAAGAGTGCGCATGCGCAAGGAGAACACTGACCCGGGGGCGAGCACATACGACGAACTCACGGTGGCTTCGCCAGAATGATTGACAGTTATGCGGACCAATGGTTGACATGATCCACCCAGAAGTAAAAGATCGATTGCTATAGCTTTAATTAATTGCACTTATAATTAATTACACTTGCTGTGCTGCCCCTTTAAGGCAGACATGTAAATTTAGCTCTGTGTGTGCGTAATTTGTACCGGTAGACTTGCCATAGTTATTCTCAACTGGAGATGACCGTTAAGCTAACTTATATTTTTTGCATATTGGTTCATCTTTTCTTGCTAATCCTGAAAGAGCACATGCCTGTAAGTCATATATGTTTGTTCCGTTGAGCGTATTTATTATAATTTTATGTAACAGTAGAGAATCTTGTGTGTGGAAGTTTTTATCTCTAGTAAAAACGGTTGCGATGCTAATGCGTTAGTCCGTCTATGGGATTTTACATACATTCTTAGCATTGAGCTAACCGCTAGGTTTGGGAAAAAAATTGATTGTTTTATTATATCTTTATGAAATACACATAAAGTACATGAAAGTTTATTATTAGGTGTTTATTAATATAAAATACATATAAATACATCACAAATGTAACATTATTCATTTATTGTTTTTCTGTATTGCAGTTTTACAGTGCCTTCTACAGTAAATATCTAAAACGTCCCTGCTGACTCCTGGATTTTTATCGTGGACCTGTTAAGCTATCTGCGTAGCTAGAACCCAGCTTCATCGTCTAGTGAGGGCAGAACTTGCTTCTGCCCCTTTAATAATTGCAGCAGTAAGCAGGGCTCTTGTTGCTATGCACCTGTGAGGGTTTTGACATTAATCACCTATATTTATCACCTTTGTTGTTATTCTTTCGCATAAAACGCTGCTCGTACGGCTGTGTGCACCCCCACAAATTATATATCAAAACGAGCGGCTCGGCCACGGGAGTTGTGCTGTTACCTTTCTAGGCAGTTTGACTTACAATGGTGAAATATTTAGCAAAAAACCTTGAAAGGTATCTAATTTTGATGCTGTGACGACTTTAAATTTGCATAATATTTGCACAATGATCAATTAAATGTGCACATAATTAAGGGGTAATTAGATGGCAGGCCCTCTAAAGGAACAGTTTTACACATGCACGAATAATATCATTATTTTGGTTTTTACCTTAATGTCACCTAAAAATCATTAGTTTGGGTTGTTCACCCAATATCAGCCAAAAATCTTTATTTGGCCTCTACAGCATGTGGCCAGTATCTTGACCTGTAATATTATTTTTTCGCGGAAGCTAATGTGGCTCAAACGGCAGCATGCACCCTCAAAAATTATACGTCAAAACGAGTGTCGGCCATGGGACGTGTGCCATTACGTTTCTGAGCGTTTTGTTTTACCATGGTGAAATGATTGGATATTGATATTTTTTTATCCACATTTAACCAGTTAATTAATTGTTGATATTTTGGGCTGATGCCTTCTTTTTGGTGTTGTCTTTGTAAAAAGAAGGAGTGAGTCTTCTTTCATCAAATGCATTGTCTGACATTACGGGTCTGACCCATCAGTCTGACCTTTATCTACTTCCACTCAATTTTTATTACAGCACACATGGCACAATATGCATTCAGGAATGAAAAATGATAGAAAATGCATAAAACAACAGCCATACTCCAAAGAAAAATACAAAAATAAAACTCAGAAATGCCAAGTAAGGCCACTTTAACATGCTACAGGAAAGTCTGGCTGCTTGGAAGCGATAAAAACAAAATGATTCAACATTCATAAGTAGCTTAGTGTTGATAAACAGCAAATGACAAATGTTTGTGAAGTCCTCACATGGAGTTTTTCTAGTGAATGTTACCCTCTGCAGACCAGCTCAAAGCATCTCACCTGAGCAGGTGAAACATTTGCCCCAACCCTCTCATCCTTCATCATTCTGCTGAAAGACCCGCTCAAGTGATCTGACCTTTTTAATATCACAAACTAATATTTAAAAAAAAATCCTACAAATATCCTGATCTTGTTGAAAATCAATTTAAAAAATAGCCCTAATTTGTTATTCCTAATGTTAAAGAAACATTTGATTTTTTTTATTTTGGTCTTTTTTATCAATCACGTTTGCTTATTTTTCGTTTTCTTTGATTGTTTTGCGATCAACCGGTGCTCCTGCAGCTGTATGCAGTGAGATAAATGGCCACAAGAGGGCAACGTTGCGCTTGTGATTGTCATTCCTAAAAAGTCAGTTTCACTCTACGTGACCCCTGTGATCTCTTTTCATTTTAAACATTTTCACAACAGTTTGAATATTCTTGACAAAAAATTTACACACACATAACTATAAACCTGCAAATGAAGAAATGACACAAAACCAAAGACTTGATCCACTTTAGAAACACATTCACACACACACACACACACACACACACACACACACACACACACAC